CGAGATAAAAGCAGATGTCTCAGGCCACAGCGTATTAAACCCGTTCTGAACGATGTGATTGTACACAATTTTGTGTTCTTTGGTCGACGGCTGAGCTTTTAATACCAAGAAAGGAGTATATTGCTTGCCCGTAGAGTCTCCCAGGAACATACCGATGAGGCGCTCTTTGTCCTTGCCTCCACATCGCACCCATACAGTCTTAGCACCCTTTTCACTGATAGTATGCTTCGGTACATACTCAAAACACACTCCACTCTGGTCTGCGTTGTAAACCTTTTCGACGCCAAGCTCCTCTTCGACTTGAGCAACATTCTTCCAAAATTCTTTTGCGTCTGCCTCCACATCCGCCGGCTTCTTCTGTCCCGGCCTCGTCTTGGCGAGAATTCGCAGCCCTTGGCGCTTTAAAAATCCAGTTTGCCATACCCAGCTACCACAAAAAACCAGGTGCCACACCTTCATCTTCGGCTATGGTCTGTACCTTCAGCTGCAGCATCAATCGTGACACGGGGACGCCCTCCTCGCGCAACGAGAGCACCCACTCTTTCAGAGCCTCTTCTCCCGCTGTGGAAATTGTCGTTGCAGTGCCAACCTTCCGGATTACTTTTAGTCCAGCTTTCACTGACGACGAACACACGGATTCAATATGCTCCCGGTCTTTCAGCCATTCATAAATGCGTTTTCGTTTATTTTCACGCTTTGTTTTGTACAAGGTGTTGGTAGAACTTGTCTAGTGTAGCTTGCTTTCCGTTGTTGTCGTGAAAGTTAATCACCTCAAGCCTCTTCAGATACGTCTCCACTTCTCGCTGATAGTTGCTGGATTGCCGGCCGCCGCCCCCAGGAACACGCTTTCGTCCTCGTGGCATTGTTCTTGAAGAGTCAGGTAAATGTGAGAGAGTGGGTACAGATCGATTAAAAATAGTCCTTCAATGTGATATAGTGCGTTTCTGAACGAAGTAAAAATAGTTCTGCAAATCTCTCAACTTAAGGTTATTCTCGTGAAATGCGTTGTTATGATTGGCTTAGCGAGTGTCCGCTTGAAGATATTGTCCGGCTATACAAATGTTATACAGTAATAATACAGTTCTGTACCACGTTTTCGCGCCCTCAGATCTTTGATAATTTTTCGGGCATAATGCTCCTTTTGCCAAATATCCTCAAATTTCTCATCTGAATCATGATGTGTTTGCAAACACTATATGAGCGGAAACTGGGTCCATAGCTGTACTTGTATTTTGTTATACCAGTACATATTATGTAAGCGGGAGTTCCGCATTCTGTTGTATGGAATTCTGTGTCTATAAACGAGCTCAGACGACACACTTTTAAAAGTACTCTTTGTGAATTGCGCTTTGATATTTATTGGGTAAGGTTCTACTGTGTTTTGCTTGTACATTTAGACAGTTCGATTGACGTTGAAGATTTAACTAAACTTAATTTTATTTAACTACTTTGTTTAACCA